AATGGCACCATGGCCAGGCCATAAACCAATGCCTCCTGAATGGGCAGAAAGGCTCACCCAGCATGACGAGGAGCCGCTATGGAATGCTGGTTGGATACCTCTTGAACCACAAGAGAACTGGCAAATCAACCACCAATGCCAAGGCCATGGAACATGGCAAGATCTCCCAGTGCTCCAACCGCACCAGTACCAAGGGTGGGCTTTTGCACTCGATGCTACACCGTCCACATATGACCAACGAAGCCAGCTTTGGGTCTTCGGACTCTGCGTACACACAATGCGCGCAGGACAGCTGCACAGACTGGGTGCAATAACAGGCATTCCCCACCAACCCGCAGACCAAAACACGAGCATTGGTGGCAGGCCTTGCTGCACTGGCCAAATACACAAGCACCTCTGTGAAGGTTATTGCGCAGGTGATTGCAGTTTGGGAAGCTTGGACACACCCAAAACAAAGAGCGCACTACCAAGAGCTCTATGAGGGCCTGACGGACTCTGACTTCCAGCGTGTCACTGTCCTCTACGTCAGCAAAAGCACACGCGCACCTGAAACCCCAGGCAGTGAACCACGCCTACAACGACGCCAAAGCGATGCGGCTTTGGCGGCCTGGGAACGGGCAGATGCCCTACACGACAAGAAAGCCACTGCGTGGCAAGCAGTGCTCGACAAGGACCATGCCGAGATCTACAAGCATGCAGCCGCTAGACTTGCTAAGATATACTCGGACAAAGAGCACTACCTCCACCAGAAAGCCCCAAGGCATCAAGGGCGACAGACCAAGCAACGCAAGAAGCAGCTTGTCCAACATTGCCGCAAGCCCTGGCAAGCGCCTTTCCATCGATGACAACCCCATCGAAGTGGACCTAGGCCAGGCATGCCCTCAGCTGGCGAGGAGCACTATCCTGAGCATCATAGCCCACGCAAACCAATTCAGAAGAAGCTCACTAGAGCCCAGGTCATTGCCAACCTTGGCCAAACAGTCAGCGCAACAATCTGACAGCCAGCATACCCTTGAGGAAACCAAAGGGTATTTGAAGTGCGCCAATTGTGGCAACAGTGTGCGCAAGCGCACCAATGAAGATGCATTTCAGGCTTTTGTCCAAGGCCCATGCATCAACAGGCCCTACGAACAGCCACATCAAGGTCATGCCAGGGTCATGCCAGCCACATTTTGTGGCAAAGAGGTGACAGACTGCAGTGCAAGAACTGTGGGACCCAAACACAGACGGATGCCCAGCAAAGGCCAATCCTCACCAATGCCCTCCAGAAGAGCTGCAAAGGGGCAGCTATCAGTGGCTCACCCCGCTTGCAGAACTATTCCGAAGACAAACCGAAAAAGCCAGTCAGCAGCAACCTGAAGGTTCAAAAGCTGGCACAGATGACGCATCTCGCACAGGGGAACAACAACCGGTTGGCCATGAACCCCAGCCCACTCCGGTGACCCTACGACGAGCAGATGACAAGTCAGAAACCATGGCGTCGCCTTTAGCGCCAAGGCAGCTTCTTTTCAGTGCGGAGAGCTGTGAGCCCAGGGTCCCTCAACCTACCGAACAGCCGGGACCAAAACACCTGCAGATGACCCTTGGCAGGGTTTGCGCAGGAAACGACCATACAAACCTGGCAGACCGGCAGAACAAGAGGCGCCTGCTGAACAGGCCCAGAAACCCAGCCCAAGCCCAACAGGTGAGTCCGCCTCCTCTGAAACACCAGAAGAGGAAGATCTGGAAACAGACCCCACGGCCGACATGCCAGCTGATGGAGAAGCCCATGAGGACCTCACGCAAGTGGACTTCTTTTGACCACGAGCACCTCTACCAGAGGCGGCCTATGCTGCGGCGCTGCGGCTGGCAACAAGGCCAAAGAGCCACAGAGCACAACAGGCAGAAAAGAACCTTTAGGAGAAAAAATACACGCATACATACATACATACATACATACATACATACGCACATGCATGCATACAGAGGTATGCGCACGCATGCATATGCCCATGGACATTGCCGTTTTTGGCCAGAATGAACAATTCAGTAGCAAGCTTGGAAAGGTTCCAGATTCCAAAAGTCTCCAAGGTAGCGAGGGTCTCCAAGTCACTGTGCGTGTGCAGGTTTCTCATCTGTGAGCGAGACAGATGAATTGCTCTAGTATAGAGGTTTTTCAAACAGGCGAGCGCGGGACGGATGAATCGCTCTAAGTACGTGGGTACGCGCGGCAAAAGGAATAGGTAAGCTCGGCAAAACGATGGAAAGCTGCACATCTACATGGAAACCAGGTTGTTAGGTGCCCCAGGTTTTGACATGGAGGACTGGCTCACCGGTTGTCCTTGCTTTGATTTGAAATATAGCTCTCTGATGCTGCTCTGTTTGATGAAGCTACACCTCAGAGAGGGAAGCGTTCACTGGCCATTCATTCATGGATGCGTGCTCGTTTTTTAGACTTGGAGGGATTCTTATGTTTCGCTAGTAGACTGGAGGCAGTGTTCGTCGGCAGACTTGTCTGTCGGTTCTCTTTTCTTTTCACTAACACTATGAGCGATTCCTCCGTCTCGGTCACCAGCGCTCAGAAAAGTGAAAGGAGCGAAGTGATGAGACATGAAGGCGGGAAAGATGGGACCAGATGAACGGCGACAAACAGGACAAAACCGCACCTCATGAAAGCAAGCCCGGGGAACATTGCCTTGTTTTGGTGTGTGAGATGCACAATGTGCACGCTAGGATAAGGCCTGAGTCCTTGAGCCATGTCCAGAGAACGGCCGCCTTCGCCGGCTCCGGGCACGTTCTGGTCTACAACCTGCCGCATGCATTCCATGGCATCAAGTCTTGTCACCAACCTTTGCGCTAAGGCTCCTTCGCCGCGCTCGCTCTGGGCACGTTCCCCTTCCGCCAGGGAAAAGACATTTCTTGATTCAGCGAGCTCGCTCCGGGCTCTGACAAGGAGAAGCAGGCCCGAGATAATCGCGCGAAGGTCGCCAAATGCCTGGAAGAAACCTCCGGGAAAAGATGGCCTGTCCAACGCGGATTTATGTAAAGCGGTTTGGCCAAAGTGCAAAGTTCACGAGCTTGGAAAGGTTCTAAATTCCAGAAGTCTCCAATGCAGCAAGGGTCTCCAAGTCTGTGTGAGCGAGAGCACATGAACCGCTCTAGTGCAAGAATAGCCTGTGAGCGAGATAAGAATTAATGTAATGGAGGTTCTAGACTGTGAGCGAGACAAATGAATCGCTCCAACTGCGCGAGACAAGTGAACCGCTCTAGCAGAGGTAGTTCCAAACTGCGAGCGAGACAAATTATATTTATAGTTCCAGAGTGCGGGTGAGACGGATGAATCGCTCTAAGTAGGTAGGCAGGCACGGCAAAAAAAGTAAAACCTCCTGTTGTAGGATAGGTAAATTAGGCAAAACGATGGAAGGCCCCCCAGTTCTAATGAGCAAGACGCGGAAGCTCTCATTGCGGTAAGTGAAAATGAAAAGAGAACCCTCAAACAAGTCTGCCAACGACTCTGCTTCCAGACTTCCAGGTTAGGTCCGAGACATAAGAAACGCTCTAGTTTAAAAAGCGGGTACGCAAAGGCCCCCCGGCAACTTTCTTTGGCACGCGCGCGCGCCAGAAAGATTTTATGTACACAGCATGCAGACATACATACATACATACAGTTACATACAATACAAGACAGTACAGGACAGTACGTACATACATGCATACATACATACAAACGTACGTACGCGCGTACATACAAACAAACACACATACATACGTACGTACATACATACATACATACATACATACATACACACACATACATACACTCACACATACACACACACATACAGACACACCCATACAGAAAGAATATGTGTATACAGTATACATAGACACACAGACATACATACATAAATGCGAACATACAAACATACATACATTCACACATACAAACATACATACATGTCTACGTACATACATACATACATACACACATACACATACATACACGCCTACGTACATACATACATACATACCTACGTACGTACATACATACACACATGCATAAATACATATATACATACACTCTTACATACATACATACATACATACTTACTTACACACATACATACATACAAACATACACACATGCACACACACATACATACACACATACAACCACATACATACATACTTACATACATACATACACACATACAAACACAGATGCATACTCACATACAACCACATACATACACACACATACATACACACATACATCATACATACATACATGCATGCATGCGCGCAAACATGCATACGTACATACATACGTACATACATACATACATACATACATACATACATATGCGCGCGCGTGCATATGCCCATGGACATTGTCGATTTTGCACTCATGTTGCCACTACATGACTGTGCACCGTGCTTTCTGAGAAGTCGACCGCGCAGATGCAATGAGTACCGGTTCAAAGGTTTCAGCCAGTGAGAGGTACACGTTTGCGAAAGCCGTCCCAGGCATCAGCCAGGGACTCGTGTTTCTCCGAGTGGGAAAGCCACGCACCGTAAAGACGTGGCAGCTCGAGAGAGAGAGAGCTTGAAGAATGTCTTTTTTGGGCCCGGCATTGCGAAAACTGCGTGGCCCAATCTCCGCAGAAGTTGTTAGGCCTGGCTCGAAAGTATGACCTCCCACTGTGCCAAACGCCAACGTGTGGCAGTGTGGCTGTTGCACTGTTGCATGTGATGAAAATATAGATCACCTTCTCGCAAGCTTCACTTCTGCGCCGCAACAGGCGTTCCTTTGTTGCATGATTTTGCCACGCTCGCTGTTCCAGAGAACCTTTTCCTTGCGCTTGCATTCCTTTCATCTTGAAAGTTTTTCCTGAGGGGTTTGGCAGGTTGGCACTGCGATGAACTGTTTTTATCTGTTGGCTGTTCGCCCGGCCTGCTAGGGCAAGGGACACTTTATACAGTATTGTATCTTTTGACGGGATTAAAGACGGGAAAACCAGGCCCAGTCTATACAGACCTGGTGCGTTTGGTGGTGCCACGATCGACGACCCCTGGGAGACAATGTCAACCTACAAGAAGAAACTTGAGCCGCTTGGTTGCAAGGAAGATGCTGCTAAAGCGCATCTAAAACCCATAAATCAGAAGGTGTTGCTGTCTGATTTTCATTGGTTTAACGCGCTGAAGGCCATGGCACTGTGCCACCTAAATGGAGCAACATATGTTCTCACGTGTTCGTGGTCTTTTTTTCTCCGGGAACGTGTTGTCCGGAATGACAAGCGCTTGCTCAACTGGCCTGCTTCCAGGCAGGAGCGGGGCTGCGACGTCGTGGTTCCCCTTTGCCATTTGTACGAGCCACAGGACGCTGGTGATTTTGCTGACCAGCCAGAGGGCTTTACTTGCAGGGCTTCAATATGTGACTGTGCAGAAGGAGGTTGGTTCACAATCTGTCGTTTCGGGAATCATATGTCAGCCCGTGGTTCTGGGAGTTTGCCAGCTGCTGTGCTTGGACATTGCAATCAGCACTTCACAGGCTCCCCTTGCGTGGGCAGTGAAGGAACTAATGTAGAATGTAGTGTAGCTAACAACGTAGCGAGTAGTGAGCAGTATTATGTGAGTGTCAGGTCTTGGTTGGTAGCTGTGCAGGATTTGCACTTAGACATGTGTCCCCTAATGTCCTGGCCCAAGAACTTGATCCAAATAGCTTTTGCTGGGAATTGACACGACATAGCTTTGGCTGCCCTTGCGCCTTTTTTGAGCTGCGCGCGTTAGCTTGTGGGCGAACAGTAAGTATGTGCACTGTGTGCACCACGCAAAGTCCTTGAAAGGGTGAACGCATGCATTCCGTCCCGGAGGTGTCTTGCCGGAGCGCCGACGACTGAGATCATCTAGCGCCGTCAAGCGTAGGAACTTGTGACGTGGGCCGAATCTTCTATGTGGCTTCAAGGGGCTTGGATCGTGTCAACGAGCCCACCTTTATCGCGGACTGTCGGAGCGGCGAGCACAGCTGAGGGCGGTGCTGTGCCGAACGGTCTGTCTGTCGAACTGGGATCTAGTCGCCGGGTCATGCCAGGGTGGCTCCACCGCTTAACGACGATCCGAAACTGGCGGGCGGGCAAGGTCCGTGGTCTTCCGGATGCCACGCCCCCCAGAAAAGTGAAGCGTCAGCTCGCGCAGCTGACTCCGCGCAGCAATTGGAGGCCTTAAAATGCGGCACTCACTGGGCAAAGCGATCGAGCTTTCCAACCGAGGCCCCTTCACAAGAAAAAACACCAGGTCAAAAAAACTCGCAAATCTTGGAAACAATCGAACGAACCCCATGAACCATCCGAGCCAAGGTAGGCCTGTTGAAAAGCTGTCGGGGGCGGACCAAAATGTCCTGCCCTTCTCGCCTGTGAGGGATGACGAAGTCTTCCCTCTCAAAAAGAAAAAGTGTGAGCTCAATGAAACTAACTGGCAAATGATCAGCCAGCTCATCTTGAAGTGGCCGCAAAGCTGTCACCAACCACTGTGCATGTTCAGCAACCGTGGCGGGCTTAAACAATTGGAACATGCCATCATGCCAATCCTCAGGAAGGCAGGTGGAAGGCGTACTCTGCTGTGCAATCTCGTCCCAGTGAGTGTCGTCAATCACCTGTGCAGCATCGCCAGCTTGATGCTGCTGGCGCTGATCTCCCACTGCCAAAAGAAAGCCTCTGAGGTCTCGCAAAAAAGGGACCCATCTTTCCAGCCTGGCCCAGGCTTCGCTGCCATGGAGGGCTTTATTCCAACAAACCATAGGAAGAGCTTTAAGTTTGAAGGCCAAAGGAGCCTTAGACCTACGAAGTCTAGCCCAGCAGTCCTCTAGTTTCTGGCCTTTTGCGCGAAGAAGCCTATTGTGCCAAGCTGCGCCGAAGTGCGCCGCCCAATTCCAAGGCGTCCTCATAGAGGGGAAATCCAAGGTTCTGCAACTGCTTGCGTAAGTCCCCAGTGGTGCCCCACAGGTAGGTCTTGGTACGGTCCAGGAGCAGGCCCCACTGCGCTAAAAAGGCTTGCAGGGAGAAGTAAGCCTGGGCAACGTGTTGAGCTTGATGCCCCGCAATGGAGATGTTGTCCACGAAGCTGAAAGTCCTGGCTGAAGGCGCGAACCGAGACTGATAAACGTGCATGGACCAGTCAAGGAGAGCCATTGCCGCTGTGGAAAGCGGATCGCCCTCAGGAAAGCCGACATTGCTAAGACGAGCTTCGCCAAGCTCATTGTGGTCCAGGAACCTCCTCCGAAGGCCAGAGAGGAAACTTGCCCAGGGTCTCATCAGTCTCTGTGGCGCCCCTACGTGGGCCGCAAGAAAGAACAATGGAGGACGCTGAATGTGGTTGAAGGCCTTGACGACGTCAGTGGACAAGCCCCCAAGTGGCATAGAAGCCTGGATGCAACATTCAATGTGAGCTTGAAGCAGCAGCCAGATTTGTGCTGTCTCTTTCTCAGGCAGGAATCCATAGGCATCCGTGTGGCTGTAAGCCGTGAGTTGTCGTAGAAATTGGCGTGCCCTCAGAGAAGACCAACGTCTGTAGACAATAGACAGCAAAGCAATTGGCCGGAAGTGATCCGGTGTGTGTGATATATCTTTCTTGGCCAGAGCGATCACGAAGGCCTCCAGCAATTGAGTTGGCCATGTAGTCTGCCCCATTTCAACTGCCTCAATGAGAGAGAGGAGTGCGGCTATTTGTCCATCAGACATGCGAAGGAGGTCTTGCTTTCCAAAGCCGTCTGCTCCCCGTGCTGCCTTGGGCTTGAAGCGCTTGATGGAGGCCCGCCGCTGCCGTATTGTGATTGGCTCAAACACAAAGCGACCCGTCGCGCGGTCCATGATGCACTCGTGGTTCGTTGAGTGGTTGAGTTGTTGAGAATTGTGATGCTTCATTGATGTTCATTGAGTAATGGATTCTGAAATTGAGTGATCTTGATTAATTGAGGCGAGGGAGTCGCTTCGGAACGCAGAAAATAGTTCGCTTCGGAACGCGGGAACGGTATCGCTTCGGAACGCGCGTCAGAGCTAGTAGGTTGGAGGCCATCGCTACAACTAGTCTGCACTGTCTGGTTGCTAACTGCAACCCACCCCACCCCATCCCCCCCCACCCCACCCCATCCTTCATCCTTAAACCCTCCCCATCTGTGTCTGTGTGTGTTCTAAAGTGAACCAAAAAATCAGGTGCGTTGTGTTCCAAAGATATCTCGCTTTTTGCTAACCCTTCCACGTTTTTGTGTGTTTTGTGTTCCAAAGTGGCCCATTTTTTGTGTTCCAAAGCGAACTAAAACCCTGTGTTCGAAAGTGAACTAAAACTTGTGTTCTGAAGTGACCCCGCTTCCTTAATTGATGGTCAATCATGCTGCTATTGGGTGTAATCATCCAACTCGAATCCTTTTTTGTAATAAACCAACTATTATTGGGGTTCCCTATGGCGTGAGAAACCCTCAATTGTCCATTGACCATCTGCCGCTGCCAATTTCATGGTTGGCAAGGCAAAGGCTTCGCCAAGGCGGGATGGCCGCCTTGAAGCGCGCGCGGTACCGGGGTGAATCACATGGTGATTCGCAACGCGGGTTGAGAATTGTGCTTGATTCATATTAATTACCAATCATTATCAACAGTCATACTATTCTCAATCATCATCAAGAATTGCCTATTAACCACAATGAACCATTACTTAACCCTTTATTTACCATGAACAAACTAGTCTTGACCACCATTAATAGGACTGCTAATCATCATGAACCCTTAATTGATTATTATCCATGTTGACCGTTACTAAGAATTCTCCACAATCATCAACCCTCTTATCCTCACCAAAAGTTCCATCTGATGTGGCCAATCCGCTGAAGTTGGACTTGAGCTTTGAACAGGTTGCAGCAAAGAGTCCTCGCATGCTTTCCGTGCCCGTTTTCACGTGACCGGCTTTGCTTGCAGGGGACGAATCAGTCTCCAGGCTCTTAGAATTGTGTTTGGGATTGTTTGGGTCAAAGCAGAAAGGGTCGCTGTGCAGCCGTTCAACTAGTTCAACATTCGTTTGGTGGCAACATCGCATACTTTCTATTGCAACCAGAAATACAACACGTTTTTCTGTGTACACTTTGATGCCATCATTGGAAGGGGTTTGATCATCATTGTCTTTCCAAACGTTCGGTGGAACGCGAGTCGCTGATCCCTTGACAGGTTGGTCCAATGAGTGGGACGGCCAGTCTTGGCCAGGATGCCGTGGCCATGTTCATGTCACACTCATTCCAGGTTGACACGACATCCAAAAGTCCAGAAATTGGATACCATGAGCACCCATCATTGGGTATCTACAAATCTTAGCATTTGGGAAACCAGCAATTTCGCGGGGACTTAGAACCTAGGGATGATCCCGAAAAAACGACTCTCAAGTCTCAAGTATTACTGTAAGGGTTTGCCCGACGCTGGAGGAGATTGGTCGTCGAATGCATGGCCAGAACAAGGTTGGGGCAAAGGTGCGCTTTGAGGTGATCAGGATTGATAAACTGGTACCCCATCAGCTGCTGGGGCTGGCAACTCAATTTATCGTCAGTCGAGTTGGTTCCTGCGCTTAGTTGAATGTAGAACTTCGCCAAGCCCATCAGCTGTTGTGCTTTTAAGCATTTTACAAACATGTTTTCTAGTAACAAATGGTTGGGTGATTAATATTGTTCATATGGGGTTGAAACCACCAAGCAGCATCAGTTGGTCATAGGCGATTGTTGGTGAGCCATGATGGACCATGAACGGTGGCGAAGCTGCGCAGCAGTTTCCAGGAGGCTTCCAGCCTGAGCAAAGCTGGGACTGGGGTAACGAGGCAGGGGTTTCTAGGAGTCACAACATGTCACAACCATCATGTGATGCCATTGCCATTGCCATGCTGTCTTCCCAATTGAAAAATGCAGGCCATGCTGAGCGCGAGCCTTCGAGAGGTTGCCTGGGCGGCATGTTACCCAGACAGGCGGACAATCTGCCAAAATCATCTAAAACGTGGTGACTAATCCTATCTGAACCACATAAAACCGAGCACCAGCTCATGGAAATGTTTTTTAATGGGCACAATGCGTATCGTTGAGAGCTGAGTGGATGGCTGCAGGATTCTCCAAGAACCTCCAAATCAACGCGAGCAAAGCATGGTTGGCTTCAGTATATAGTCATTCTTGACTCTCAACCGACCATGAATAGCAACCAATAAACCTTAAACCGACAGGCACTCAGTATAGCTTGTTACGCCCAGGAGACTGCCTTGGCCGGGAGTTATTCAATCAGCTATGATCAGCTGTGAATTCGTGAGCCCACCGCAGGGCTGCTGCGGCAAGCACGCCGTGCGGTTTGTGGATGGGTTTGATG